AATGGAAAATGTTTTTGGTCCCATGATAACAGGGTATATTCATCCACTTCTTAGTAAATTTTAATTTGTATGACTACAAATTTAAATATTTAAAAATTTGTAATATTTAAGCTGGATGCCAGGAACTTCCACCCAGAACTCTTTCACAAGAGGTATCCTGGGATTCACAATTACTGTACAATAGTATACTGTCTCATCATGTCTGCATCAGACAAGGTCACTCTAAGATCACAACAAGATGAGAGAAACCACAGATGTTGTTCAAGCAATCCACAAAACATCAGCTGTCTTCTCTCCTGACTAATGCAAACAACTGTGTCCTTGCCCTATGCTGCTCTCTGTGTGGATAAGATAATAGTTGTTCACACCAGTAACTACCAACAGTGTTGTAGATCAAAACCACAATGACATAGCATCTCATGCCTGTTAGAATCTATCACCAGATAAAAATAGTACATGCTGGCTAGGATGCAGAGACAGGGACTTTCTTAAAAATTGCTGTTTGTTGGTGGAGGATTAAGTCCCAAGTGAATGTATATTGTTGATACAAACATGGCCTCAGATCCAGAGCAATGGCAAAGCCTTCTCCTGGTCAAGGACAGAGACTGGCTGTATATGCAGAAAGTATCAACTACAACTTCCATGACTGCAGTCCAGCACTGCCATCTACACAGACCCACTACCAAGGCTAGCTCACCCACCTCCTCATTCAGTTGTATTTAATAAATCTGGCTCCATGTTCAGTGATATATAATAAACATCCTAAGCTTTCAGGCTTCTATTGCAGTTCCATCAGAGCTCACAACCCAACTAATCCCAGCTTTTCCGTATGTGTGAGTCATTTCTTCATTCCCCATCACCCCAGTCAGGTCAAACCTAATGCCTTGCAGGTTGTTGCAGAAGGGAGAAATGCAAATTAGCACAATATGTTACCCTGCAATCCCGCCACAAGGTTATATATCCAAAAAAAAAATGGAATAAGTACATCAAATGCATATGTGTAGGCCCATATTTACTTCAGTACTATTTACAATAGCCAAGATATGACATCAACCACGGTATTCATCAATTGATAAATAATAAATAAATAAAAGAATAAGTGTGCTATATATGCACGATGGAATATTACATCAAATCTTATCATTTATGGCAATGCGGATATAACTAGAAGGCACTATGTCAGGTAAAATAAATCAGGTAAGAAGAACAAAAGGCACATTCCACTCATCTGTGGAAACTGAGCTGAAAACATAGAAATACAGATTACAATGGGGTCCCGAGAGTTTAAGAAGGGGATAGGAGAGAGATAACAGTGAAGGGAGGGACAGTGTGTACCAAAATTGTAGGGCCTGGGTCTACCCTTGTTCCTGGGGTTCATCTTGAGGACAATTTCTGGTCAGCTAACTAAAACATTCTGTTTGTTCCTGTGCTCCCTCTGCCCTGCCTGGTGATTAGCTGTAGGGCATTGTTTACTCCATCTCATCTTTGGTGTGGTAATTTCCTATCTGCCTGGGCAGAAATCCTTGTACAACAGCGAGGTATATAAGGATTTCCCCAAGTTGAATAAACGGCATTCGGCATTCGGCTTATCTCCTTTCGAATGATCCAGGTCTCTTGTGTGTTCTTTCAATCTTCAGGCCCTTGCCCGACTCACATACGGTACAGTGGCGCGGCGAACTGTACCGAGAGGGTAACACAATGAGGTGTTACACAAAATAAAGTCAGAGGGGAGGAAGTAGTCCTGTTGTCACAAAACTATATCCCACAATTAGCTACATATTTTTAAATAACTACAGGAGAATAGTTTAAAGGGCCCAAACATAAAAATTATAATATTTGAGGAGTTAGAAATACTAATTATCATGATTTGACAACTACATGCTATATTAAATATATCAAAGTACTCTTCTGTATCCCACAGTTAAGTACAGCTGTTATATGATATTAAAATTAAAGCTGAAGATTGAGTTCAGTATACAGTACCCAGTACCCAGGAAGAACCATTTCAGTTAAAAGGATGCCAAGTTACAGAATACCTCTACTTTCAAATCCTTAGGTAAGTTCCACTTTCTTAAACTCACATCCAAATCCATCCGGCAAACTTTAAGCAGTTTAACAGGTTTGACCTCCTCTTGGCCCGCTAGCCCCTACCTGGAGCACTCTTCCCTGCTACTAGAATTACAAACACAACTCATTCAATTACGTGCTTCTCTGGTGGCCTTTGGCTGGAGGACACTGACAACAGCTTCTAATAATGTAAAATGCAAGGGAAAAGCCAGACATATTTCCGTATTTTAATACTGCTTTTCTAAAACAGATCAAATGAATTTTTCAAATGATCCTAAGAAAAACTTTGCAAAGTCATGGATAAACAGCTTTATGAAGAAAAAAGGGGTGTCATTTTTTTTATAAATAATCCTTAAGAGGAGCCTCTCCACTGACGCAAAATAACTCCAATCAGACCAGATTAGACCAAATCAGATGACCACATTTAATGAATGCAGCACTCCAGGGTGGCACAGGAACATGGTAGAAGAAAGACAAAGAGGGGAAGTCCATGCAAACCCCTAGATCATGTGTTCCTTTTTTTTTTTTCTGGTGTAAGCCTAAGTAGCCTGTGGGAGTGGGCTTCCCGGAGGTGGAGTCTGGACCAAGGCAACTCCCAGGGGGAGGGGGCTTAGGATGGATACCAGGGACTGGGGTGATGCTTCCAATCATCCCAGACTCTTTGGATATAGGGGTCTTAGAGGGCTAGGGTCTCACTTCCCAACAAACATCCCAGAATTTTTGTATATAGGGGCATCGGCTCAAATCTGGCTACTTCCTGGGGGCATGGGGTGACATGGGAGAGGGGAGAGCTGGGAGTTGGTGAGTTCATGCTCAATGAGATGTGTGGCTGGAGCAGCATCTGGTTTGCTGTCATCCTGGAGTCCTCAGGCAGCTGCTTTTTGAGGGAGCTGAGAGGCAGGTGACTAGGAGAAAAAATATCGTTATTATTGGTACCATAAAATGGGGCTAGCCATAGGAAGTCATTAACTGCCACAAAGAGAAGCCTGGTTGTATAGGTGAGGCTTGGGTGTATAACTGGGACACAACAGCAGATAAAACCAGATTTTAATTGGTAGGTGTCCTTGATCCAGGAGAGTTGGTACCAATGGTGAAGGTCCAGGAACTGTTGCAGGTGTTTGGTGTTATCTGGAGAGTGCTTTGGGAGTTGGTCTTGCCCAGGCAGCAAGAGTGACCTGTAAAATATGCTTGAAGCTGGGTGAGGTTAACACAGCAGAACATTTTCCTGGAACCTGTAAAAGAACTGGAACAGATTAACATTTTGGTGTCATAGCAAAAGGCTATTGTTTTAGGTTAAAAGGTATGAATATTTTAAAAGATAATTAAAGGTAATTAGGAACTCTGGATTTTAAAGATACACCTGTTAGTCCTGGACTATGAGGCCTGTAAAAGAGGCACACTGTGTGTTTTTAGTAGGAAACTTTATTAAATCTCGTGAATGAAGTAATAAGTTAACAACATCTTAAATTATCAAATGCCATTAGACAGATCTGGGAGGGTTAAATGAGCAAAAATGAGACAGCTTTTTAGCTATGCAGATAATGCCAAATCTTCTCTTTAGTCCTTGGAGAACACCAGTCAGAAGCAGTGCTTGCCGTTAGCTTTAGAGTACAAGAGGCCCAAAGATTTTTTTCCTGTGGGAGGGTGGAAAGACTTAGTCTACCTGTCTTGGCAGAAGATCGATTCCCTGGGTGAAGCATTCAGGAAGCTAAAGAGGTGAAAGGCTGCTTTTTGTTGTGTGAGTGGGTTTGGCAAACCCAAAGGCAAATACCTGGTTCCAAGAAAGACCACAAACTGAGACTACCCAGACACCACCTAGAAACAGACCATCCAAAGGAAATTTCTAACATTCCAACCATTGTAGGTAGGATCACCTGCCAGCAAACACCAATTGCTTTTCACCAGGATGCCCCTAGACAAATGTTAGCCAATCAGGGGTCCTGAACCTTAGAAATCCCTTACCCCCACCATTGCTACTATAAAAACCCAACCCTAACTGAGCTCTCTGATCACTCAAATAAGTTGGATACACAGAGAGACCAAGTTTGCGAATGTTTGTAAGAATAAAAGCTCTTTGTTCTTATATACAGGACTCAGTTTCCTAGTTAGTTTTGGGGGTACTCCGTGAGCTGGCCATAACAAAAACCAATCCATGTTTCTAGACAAAATAAAAACCAAGAATGGTGTTTTCAACAAAAGTATAATTAATACATACCATTATGAGTTTCTGGAGGTTGAGTTTAAAAGTCATTTGGTAATCAACAACCATTTGTCATTTTAAAACTTATAGCTCAAAAAATAGACATGATCATGTAAACCTGTAATCCTAGCTCTTGAGAGCTGAAGGCAGAAGACAGGGAGTTCCAGGCTATCCAAGCTAGCCTGGGATACATAGTGAGATAGCACAATCTGGCCACGGGTGTGGGGTGGAGTCCTTGGTCAACTCTGAGTAGACAGAAACTCAAATGTGCTGAAGGGTAATTATAAAATCATACACTGGCCTGGTGATGGTGGTGCATCCCTTTAACCCAAGCACTTGGGAGGCAGAGGCAGAAGGATCTCTGAGTTCCAGGCCAGTCTGGTCTACAAAGTGAGTTCCAGGCTCCAGGATAGCCAGGGCTACAGAGAGTGAACCTGTGGGGGGAAAAATGGAAAAAAAAAAAGGAACAAAAGCTCATGCAGTGAAATCTTTAAAAACCATCTCATTAAAATCAGAAACAAGATCAAAATTAGTGCTCTCTCTATTTTATTGGCATCTAAAATTACCTGGTGCAAGGAAACACAAACACACAACAAACCCTCTTAGGAGTTTATTGGAGGAGGGGTGTACAGGCCTGGTGAGGTCGGTATGCAGACAGAGAGAGAGAGAGAGAGAGAGAGAGAGAGAGAGAGAGAGAGAGAGAGAGAGAAAGAGAGGAAGATGGTGTCTCGAGCTTTTAAAAGCTGCCTAATGCATGCATACAGGGGGATGACATGGTTATGTCATACACAGATGACCGTTCACACATGCACACAAGGGCTCACACAGTTGTGTCAGACATTGGTGATGCAACCATGCCGCACATGGGTCATGCAGGGTCCTTTAAGATCCCCTGGGGCCATTTGGCCCTTCTGCCTGAGGGCTTGTCCTCACATGCATGCGTGGCCTTAGAACCCAGAAGTGTCAGCCATGCTGTGTGACTGAATCATTACATTCCATCCTTTGTTTGTTATAAAAATTTGGGGCGTTTGGGGTCTTTAATGGATGGGAATAGAGCATCATAAGATCTCTTGTGACTGCTTCCTGTTGATTTTGTGGGCATTATCAGGTTTCTTGAGACTGCTTTTTGATGATTTTGTGGGAATCGTAGAGTTGAGATGCTTGACCATCTCAACTTGTTGGGGTGGCTGATTACCTGTGTGCTTTTTTTCCAGGCTCCATGGAACTGGTTGGCTGGCAGCTTGGACCTTGCAAGATGCTGGAAAGACAGAAAATTATGCCTGAAAAATATTTTAGATCCTGGTGATTAAGGGAGTAGAGTCCCAATATGGAAGAGAGAGGGGTGTTTTTTGGAGGGTGGAGGAGAGAATTTCCCAGGGGTTCCCAAGACCAGGAATAATAAGGAAATAATTAAATAATACTTATTCTGGGTGAGTCTGGTCTATTTAGAAAGGTTCAATTGGCTCCCTGGAGCTTATGAAAAAATGTTTGAAAAGAAATAAATTTTAGACATATTAAAAGTTTATGATTATGATGGAATAGTGTTGGAATAGAAGACAGTGGAGAGAAGGGGGAAAAGAAGGGGGAATTATTGGAAAGGGGAATTATTAGACCTCTCAATGTTTTAACTGAAGCAAATCTTAAGGCACTTGTTCTCTTTAACATCATGGTATTACCTTAACATCCAGGAGACACTGCTGCAATCAGTAATAAACCCATTATGTTAAAGTCTATTTTGTGGGGTTTTGGAGTCTGGAACTGTGAATATCCCCAAACTCATTACTGTTTCTTACCACCTGGGCTTTTGGGAATCCTTGTACCTCTGGCTCTATGTTTAATGATGGTCCCTGTAATAACAGCTGAGTGGTTAACTGGAAATTTAAGTATGACATTGGAGATATAGAGAAGTTAGTAAAGCAGATAGGAGAAAGAGGAAGAGGGAGAGTATATGAAGTTTTTGTCACATAAGAGTTGAGTACAGTGATGAGACTTTTATTTTTCTGAATCTGGAGAAAGAGTGGCTGATCTTGGTGCTCTCTAAAACTTAAGGGAGCAGGGCCCTGTTTGAATTACCATATATGGGGGGGTATCTTGAGCTGGAAGAGTAAAAGGTTTAAGGTGAGACAGGTGGATCCAATGAGAGAGTCCCTCTAGCTAGGCAGCTGTGGGAGTTACAAGAATTACTTCAAAAGGGCCCTGCCATTTAGGGGAAAGGGGTGAGGGGTATTGATCTGGGGGAGAGAATAGTACTTGATCTCCTATTTTAATTGGTGGTGAGCATGAATTGGCACATGGTTGAGGTAATGAGCAATCAGTAAAATCCTATAACAGGGAGTGAAGATGGGATAACAGTGGAGTAAGCAGGTGATCAGGAAAGGGAGAGGTTTTAGGTGAGAGGCCAGGAGTTAAAACCGGCCACCCATACATGAGTTTAAAGGACAAGATGGAAAGGGGGCTTTTGGGGAGAACTCTAAGCCTAAGAAGGGCCAGAGGCAAAAGTTTTACCCAGTCAAGGTAAAGCTCCTGTGACATCTTAACAAGAACATTTTTAAAGCACAGTTAGTTTGTTCTACCTTCCCTGAAGACTAAGGGTGGTATGGGATATGAAAATGCCAGGGAATGTTAAGAGTTTTAAATAAAGTTTAAGAGATCTGGGAGGTAAACTCTGGCCATTATCCAACTGAAGAGAAGTTGGGATTCCAAACCGGGGGATAATTTCTCAGAGAAGAACATCAGAAACTTTCTGGGCCCTCTTGTTAGTGGTGGAAACTCGTCAATTCACCTAGATATGGTGTCCACCAAAGCTAGGATATATTTAACTTGTCTGACTGTGGGCATCTGAGTAAAATCAAGCTGCCAGTCAGTTCCTGGAAGGGAGCCCCTGGCCTGGATGGTGGGAAAAGGGAAGCTATGATATTCGGTCTCGGGATCTGACTTTTAACAGATTTTAGAAGAGCCAGTGATAGCTTTTAAGTCCTCAGGAGTGGGCTGGAGGTGAACCTTGACAAAATGAAACAGAGCTTTGCTAATAGGATGAAAGAGCTGATGTAGGTAAGACAGAATTTGCCGGATGTCAGGTGGTGTATGCAAAAATGCGGGCTGTACTGTATGAATCCCCTGAGGTGACTGAGGTAGGTTTGGGCTCTGGAATGCTGCTGTCCTAGCTGCTTGGTCAGCCCAGTTATTTCCCTTGTAAATAATTGGAATGATCAGTCTAATGAGACTGACAGTGAATAATTCCTATAGCCTTGGGGAGATGGGAGACATTTAACAGGTCCATAATGTAACCTGAGTTAGTTACGGATCCTCCTTTTATCATAAGAAGCCCGTGCTCCTTCCAGATAGCTGCGTGGGACAGGAGGATATGAAAGGCATATTTGGAGTCTGTGTAAACATTTAAAGATTGTCCCTGTGACAACTGTAAGGCATGGGTAAGGGCTATTAATTCAGCCTGCTGATTAGTGGTATGGGCAAAGAGAGTGCCTGGGGCTCCACCACCCAAGTATCTGACACCATGGCATAGCCTGCTCTATGGGTCCCTTCACATAAAAAGGAACTGCCATCTGGGTACCAGATATAAGTGGCCTGGGATAGTTTGCCCTCCTGTATATGTGAGGGGTGGGGCAGTAGATCCTTTAAGGTTTCTATGAGGGAACGAGATGGGGAATAATTAATGTTAGGTTGAGGTAGAAGATTTGAGATATTAAGGGGTGGGCAGGATTGGAAAGTGAGTGTGGCATCTTCTACCAGTGCCACCTGGAGAGAAAGAACTCAGGAAGGGGGTAAGGTTTGTAAGCCTCTGTAAGTTAAGAGATGAGACAGATTTTGGTGGGAGAAGACAGTGGTGGGTGACCCAAAGGTTAGTTTCTTTGACTCACAAATAAGAAACTAAGTGGTCGCTAAAGTGTGCATGCAGTGTGCCCAGCCCTGAGTGGTGAGGTCCAGCTTCTTTGACAGGTACACTACAGGTGCAAAGGAAGGTCCCAGCTGATGTCCTAGGACCCAGGGGCATATTCCTCCTTCTCTGTTACATAGAGAGAGAAGGGACAAGTTAAATCTGGGAGATGGAGAGCTGGGGCCTGGATAAGGGCCTGCTGGAGTCTCTGTAAGGGTTTAGTGACCAGATAGAGAAGGGGCTCGTGCAGAGAGCTGACAGTTGCCTCATATAAGGGACAGGTAAGGAGAGAAAAAGAGGGGATCCAGGAACGCAGGAAGTCAGCTACTCCTATGAACAATAAAACCTTTTCTTTTGTAGGAGGAACTGCAAGGGGCTGAATTAGCTTTTTCCTGTCTAGGGTAACAACTTTTTGGTTTGGGGTAATAAATAATTCCAAGTAAATAACCTGAGAGGTAGACGGTTGGACCTTAGAAGGTGAGACTCTATAGCCCTTTTTGGACAGGAAATTTAAAAGAATGGAGGTATCATTCTTGCTGATAAAGGTATCAGCTTTGCTGATCTCCAAGGATGGACTGCAAAGTAAGATATCATCTATATACTGTATGAGTTTAGACTTAGGGAGAGACAGTGAGAATAGATCAGAAGCTAAAGCCTGACCAAATAGGTGTGGGCTGTCCCAAAATCCCTGGGGAAGGACAGTCCAGGTGAACTGTGTGGAGAGGTGAGTGTCAGGGTCAGTTCAGGTGAAGGCAAAGATATATTGAGATTGAGAGCTGAGAGGAATAGAGAAAAAAGTCTTCTTAAGATCTAGAACTAAGAAGTGGGAGGTTCCTGGGGAGATCGTAGAAAAAAGTGTGCAAGGATTAGGCACTACAGGATGAAGAGGGACCACTGCAGAGTTAGTGAGCTGGAGGTCTTGAATCAGGCAATAGGTTCATTAGGTTTTTTTAATAGCAAGTATTTTTAATAGCAAGCCCCCATGGTTGGGGGCTGTCCCCCCCCCATTTCTACGAACACCAGAAGATTTCTGGGAGCTCAAAGGTCAATTTCTCGGGTTCAGAGGAGAAATGGTTAAACTGACCAGAATGGGGAAACTCACAAATTAAAGCTGGTGGTGTGTATAGAGGTCATGCTCAGGCAGATGGGACATGTGGTTGTTGTGGAAAAAATACCTGGTCCTGGATTCCGACCCCAGGAGAGGTGCAGAAGAGCTTCCCGAGTCTCACGGCACCAATGAAATTATCTGGTGCTAGTGAGAAGGAAAAACGAACATGCAACAAACCTGCTTAGGAGTTTATTGGGGGAACGGGGTTGTACAGCCCTGATGAGGTCGGTGTGCAGAGAGAGAGAGCTAAAGATGGCAGGTCCAGCTTTTAAAGGCTGCCTAGTGCATGCTCACAGTGGGATGGCGTGGTTATATCATACGCAGATGACTGAGCTCATGCATGCACACAAGGGCTCATGTAGTTGCGTCAAACATTGGTGATGCAACCATGCTGCACATGGGTCGTGTATACAAGGCCCTTTAAGATCCCCTAGGGTCATTAGGCACTTCTACCTGAGGGTTTGTCTGCACATGCGTGTGTGGCCCTAGAATTCAGAAGTGACAGTCATGCGGTGTGGTTGAATCATTGTAGCATCCTTGCCAGCTTATTAATATTGTGAACAAAGTTTCTAAAACTTTTAGTAACATTGTGTTAGTTGCTTAGCACCAAATGTTTCTACTTTTCTTCCCAAAAATTTATTCTATAAAATAGCAAACATTCAAAAACCAGTTATCTTTCATGAAATTAAGAGAAGAAAACAAATCCTCTGCAAGATAGAATCTAGATTGGCGGACCACGGGAAGGAAGCAAGAGTGGCCTGGGTGTGAGTCTGTTGTAGATGAGATAGGCCTAAACTAAATAGTCCCTACCTAATACACAAATGCCTGGGCACAAGCAGTTAGACAAACACTGACAGCAGACAGATATGGCAAGGGGCCATAGATAAACAATAAAGACAGCAAACTTCTCACTTCTTCCTCATCTGAGACAAAGGCAAGGCTTTTGTCCCCCTCCCCACTGACCTATCCTACAAATTCAAAGCTAGAGCAGGTCTCATTAAAACTGTGGGCCTAACAGCTTCCTTCTTAAAGTGACCAATCCTAAATGCGGGGAAGAAGACCTGCATTCCAACACACCAAAGGTAATTCAAAGCCAGAGCCCTCAGGGAGAAACCAGACAGCTTCCTCCATTTCCCACCGCTTTAGTACTTATTGTTTACCTTGCTGTGTGCCAACATTGAAGCTTTTCTTTAACAGTTGACTCTGCTGCTTTGTCTGAGATTTTCTCCCTGAAGATACCTGTTGTGCTGAGATTATTGTTTTCTTTTTAACTAGTAGAGAAAACAAACCCAATCCAGGGTCCTTAGATAGCACCAAACCTACAGCTATAAATCATTGTGGATTTACTGTAGTCAATCTCTATTTATTTTAGTTCTGTTCACTCTGCCGTTCATTCACATCCCTCCCTACCCTTTCACTAAGAACAATGTTTTACTCTGGATTAACCTGCAGCTTTATAACAGTGAATGAAATATGCTTATGCTTAGTGGGAGACCAATACACAGGCACATTTTTGTCATGTTGCTTTCTGTTTTCTATCTATGCACCAGCGTTACACATTTAATCACCTTCCTTCTAGACCCTCTCTCAAATGCCCCTCCATTCTGAGGTGCTGAATGTTAAAATCCCAACATATATATTTGGAAGGACACAATAGCGCATGGGAAAAAATTATCTGAAGGAAGGAAAGGAGATATGACAAATGTCAAGCTAACTCACTGTGCTCAGTAGAATTCCGCTGCTGCTATCTAAACAAAGGATATTCTGTGGGTATCATGCAAAATTCTAATTATAAATCAGTCAATTGAATAAAAATACCATAGCTTCATAAACATACCATAATTTCAATAAACAAGACTCTACAATGAGAGTTATATAAATGTAGTTGTTAGACCTGCATGTTACTTTGCAACCTTTATGTCAGCTCTGTTTTAGTTTCGGATCTTTTGTTAAAAATGCTCAGAGTTCACCCCATTCCATTTGCTAACAAGTCCATGATCTCTTGGTTCTCTGGAGCATGCTTCAGTAAGCCCTGATGTGAATAATAATTTTCTGGGTCCTTGATCGTGGAAAAACACAACCCTGGCCTTGACACTTGAAAGACAGTTTAGATGAACTTAAAACCTTTGGCTACAGCTCTCTTAAATGTTGAATATAGATGGTGTCCTTTTCTGATGTTGACTCTGGCTATGACAACTTGGCTTTCGTTTCCAAACAAATGACACAGTGTTCTTGTCCCACTGCCCAGTTATGACCAGAATCAGCAAGATGATCTGGCTTATTATTAATAAATATAGCTTATATATTAATAGATACAGATACTGGCTCTTGATACTAGTTTCGACGCTGATCATTCTAGGACAATTTACTCAGATTGGATGGAATGTTCAGCATAGTCTTACTTCAAGAATGCATTCTAAACCAGGCATAGTGGCACACACCTTTAATCCCAGCACTCAGGAGGAAGAGACAGGTAGATCTTTGAGTTTGAGGCCAGCCTCGTCTACATAGTGAGTTCCAGAACAGCCAGAACTCATTCTAGTTCTTGTTCTCCGTGGCTTGGTTTCCATGATTGAAGGACCTACCATTATTCATATTTTGGAGTCTTCTCCCCTTCAGTTTAAACTTTCACTTGTTCTGGTTACAAGTAATTTTGCTTCTCTCTTTCATTTTCCTCACTTTCACATGAGAATAAAATCTGTGTCTTATTGTGCTTCCTGTGGTTTCCCTTGTGTACCTTATAATTTAGTTCTTGCTTGATTCCTCCATCTCTCCCATAAGTTTCACAAGCAACCGTTTCATATCCTGTCTTTTCTGACTATTGTCTCCTTTGAATTGGCCATCCTGGTGGGTTTTGACCATGTTTCCTGAGGGCCTGTTTATATTTTCATTGTGTTCCATCTTAGTTTCAATTATATCATTAACTTATTTATCTTTTATTCATGTTGGAATATTATGTTACACCCATCCTCTGCTTTGGAGAAATATTTCCCAAGTGTTAGTTGGCAAGGAAGTTTTTCTTTTGTTTGTTTGTTTTTCTTTTTAGCTTGGCATTCTGTTCACCCCATTCTTCTCTAACGGATCTCTCGTTGAGCACCCTAATTATGCAATTATTTTATTAGTCGTATTAAAGTGAGTTGGGAATTTTCTCAGTTGGAAGGAGGAGCTGCACAAGAGGCTGTCACTTTCCACATCACAGCAGCGATGTAAGGCGTGTGCCTCTTCCGGGTCAAGGCTCACCTCAGTTTCAGATCTTGACCACAAAAGCTCTTACCACCAGTTCTATGCCTCTGTGGTTCTTTCTAACCCTCAGAGGAGAAAACTTCACCAAGAGATTCCATTCCCAATGTATACTCAAACATGCCTTTCCTGTAAAGGCACTGTATTCTTGAGTGTATCCCTGCCCTGGGAGTCCCCTCACTCCCAAATTTTCTACATTGACTGCCTTTCTCTCCCACTGTACTTCCACTGCTCAGCTACCTCAGTTCTCACTAAGAATAGCTCTCGCTCTTTGGGGAGTAAATATTTGCTCTTAATTTTTGATATCTGCTCTTTCTGAAACCCCACTGTGCATCTCATTCTGAGATACACTCATGGCCATTTTGAGGCTTTCTGCAACCATATTACTGGGTTTACTTACACACACACACACACACACACATGCGTGCATGAGAAAGAGAGAGAGAGAGAGAGAGAGAGAGAGAGAGAGAGAGAGAAAATTATTACACAGAGTACCCAAAGGAAAGGAAATATGTGAGAGAGAGCCCAGTATAACAGATACCATAAAGCACAGGCATTAAAATACATACTTCATAAGTGTGAGGGAATCCCTCTAGAAGACAAAACTCCATCCTACGTTTCCTTCAGAAACAGTTCAGGAGGTGGTAGCAGACAAAGTTCCTGCTATGAGTTGTGCACATAAATACAAAGAGGCAAGACTTCCAAACAGCCGTGGAGTCTAGAAGAAACCAAATGAATCTGTAATTCCAGGGAAGAAATGTGGCATAAGGAAAGTCATGGAGTCTTCATCTGTCTTATTTTCCTGGCTCCTACAGGAAATTTTTGAAAAAGGTACGCCATTCATACCGACTTCAAATAGCAACTATAAATATACAAGGAGAAAGGGAAGACAAGGGTGGAGAGGAAGAAGTGGAGGAAGAGAGGAGGATAATTGCCCTTGCTTGTGTAGAGTTGTAATTAATAGATAAAGGAGGGTAACTAAACATTTTGTTTCTTCTCTCTTTCCTTCTATATATGAGGTACAGGTTGTGACTTAGCTATTAGTAGAATTTCCTGTAGAAACCAGGAAAATAATCAGTGCTAAGAAATCATGGCTTTCCTTATGCAAACTCTTTATTTTCTGGAATCACAAAACATATATTTTAATTTTAGCCTTGTATAGTAGTTATCTTGTAGATTTATTTTGCATTTCTTTATGACTGGAAAGGAAACCTTTTAAACTTATGAAATTGCATGAGTGAGTGTGCTGTGGTTCTCTGTAGAGCCAGAGCTGAGTCTGATTAAGAGGAAAACCATTACCATGGAATCTATCCACTTTAGAGTCTGAATTTTCCTACTATAAAAATACTGTTAGTTCATAGCATAAATGAAGGCGTAAGTCACAGACAATCCCACACCAGTTTGGAATTATGATTAATAGAATGGTTATTTATTCAAAGGGGAAAAAACTTACAGATTACCATCCCAGATAACAGCCCCTCTGCGCAAACAGGAAAGGAGTTTAGGAGCCAGAAGCGGAGCGGAAGCCAAAGAAAGAGTGGAGGACAGCTGCTGCTTTTTTTAAAGCAGAGAGAGACCACGCCCCAATGGGCTGGTAACTCAGCAGCGATTGGCTGAAGGAGTGGAAGGAGCTCCCGCAGCACATAAAGGCTTGCTGATGCTCACAGGTATTGTTGTTATGATATGATAATCATTGTGATCATTTTAAGCCTAAGATATACATGAGCAACTGCTATATTTTTAGACAAAACTGATTTGTGTCTCTACTTAGTTTTCAAAAAATGTGATATTATAGGTAGAAAATAAGTCCCTTTAAAGCACCAGAGAGATCGCTTGTTATACATGATAAAACAAGATTGTTCAATATTGTTCTTCATACTAAATCAATTCAGCAAAACAAGTATTTATTGTGCTTCATCTTTTTCTTTCTTTTTTTTTTTTGAGGGAGTGGGTGGGGAAAGTGTTCAAGACATGGTTTCTTTGAAGCTTTGGAGCCTTTCCTGGAACACACTCTGTAGACCAGGCTGAGCTCGAACTCACAGAGATCCACCTGTCCCTGCCCCTCCCCCCAAGTGCTGGGATTAAAGGCCTGGGCCACCATCACCCGCAGGCCTCTCTTCCTTTCTATTTAACCTAAAATTCCAATTCTGTCTTTCTGTCTTTTCTTTCTTTCTTTCTTTCTTTCTTTCTTTCTTTCTTTCTTTCTTTCTTTCTTTCTTCCTTCCTTCCTTCCTTCCTTCCTTTCTTATTCTTTCTTTCTTCCTTCCTTCTTTCCTTCCTTCCTTTCTTTCCTTTCTTTCTTTTCTTTTTTTTAAAATTCTTTTCTAAGACAGGGTTTCTCCATGTAGCCCTAGCTGCCCTGGAACTCACCATGTAAACCAGGTTGTCTTAAACTCACAGAAATCTACCTGCCTCTGTCTCTCTAGTTCTAGGATTAAAGGCATGTGCCACTCTTACCAGTAAGTTTCATATTTACATCATGGACTTAACCTAGATATAAAATATTGTTACCCATGAAACCATAATAATAACAGTTACAGTTTCCAGAAGAGTAATCCAAACTTACCATCATCATTTGAGTTGTCCATATTGCTGACCATGTTCCTCTAGAACTTTTACCTTCAAGATCACAGAACTTTTTCATAAACTTGGTTGTTGGTGGTTACTGACACTGATTGTCCACCAGCCTGTAATAGTAACAATCTGTGTCAACTTGTTCATTATTGACTGATATTAAAGATTTACCTTCCAAGAATATGAGCACTGCCATCTTTACTAACAATGAGCGAGATCTCTAGGTGGAGGTGCTATGATGGTAGCTGATCCAGTGTACTTTGCGTATCTAATGGCATCATTTTCTGGGGCACCCACAAGAGTCATGGTTCAGCTCTATTGCCTCAGAAGTTCGGAAGAGGTTCATGAAGAAAAACAGATCACTGTGGAAGAACCAGTGATTGAAGAGATCTTCGTAGTTGAAAGGTCTTCCATGTCTACTAAATCTAAGGTCCTGGGCAGTATGTGCAGGCATTTTCTGAGCTATAACTTCAGAATACTGAATTGGTAGGAGCTATAACTGTTGAACTCATACTATCTATAAAAAAGAGTTCTAATGGGATATGGAAATAATGTTAGCAGAGACTAAATATTGATAGTATATAATACAAAGATAAAATGTAGAAACAAATTCTTTAGAATTGAAATTTTTATTCTAGGTTAAATTTCTTTACAAATTGAATTGTTGATTAAAAACCCCAAATCATTTAGACTCTTAAATATAATAATTAAATATAAAAGCAAATTATTAAAAATAACTTTCTTCATATAAATGAGACCAGTTATTTAAAGTTATTTAATGTGTCTATGCAAGAATATTAGTGATTGATAACGTAAGACAGGTCATCAGCATTTTGGCTAAACTAAGTAAATGGGAACAAATGAATTTTGTAATCTCTATGTTACTAATTATTTAGGCTCTTCCTGAACTTATGCCCAACATCACACAGTGTTCTGTTATCATAATGATATTGTCTAACTTGGTGGGAAGGGGAAAATCACTTGGAAAAATTAATTAAGCATCCTTCAAAGTCATTTCCTTTCTCATAATCAACTCTGTGTTTTTAGAGTGCTCACCATACTGAGGGGTTCACTCCTGAGCAAGGTACCACAAAAAGATTCTAGAAGATGAGGGTTAAGACATCAGTTATACATTGAAAGAAGGATATTTGTGGAAAAAGGTGTCATCAAAATAAAAAATGATTATCTCCATCTAGGTATTGTCTTGGGAAATTTTAAGATAAAACACAAAAAGAAGTGAAGGATATATGATCTATCTGATTCTGAACTTTACTTAGAAATAGAAGTAGACAGATGACAGACAGATAGATAGGAATAATATGTGTCTGTATAAAAAATTAAACTGATTTTTGATAATAATCTTATGGTATAAGAACTATGAAACTAGAAAAGAAGTAGTGTATAGAGAATATTAACTAGATCTAGGAAATCTAGATTTCAAAGTTAACTAATTTTAAAGTTACCATTGGTATGAAACAAGATATACCAGCAGAAACATTTATTGGCTCCTTGTGTTACTGCTCTTAGTCTGGGATTACTGTGAGCTCACTGGGTATGGTTGTGCAAGCCTGTAATCTAAGTTCCTTGGACATAGGAAAGAAGATCATGAGTTTGAGGCCAGCCAGGACTACAAAACACAACCATGTTTTAAATATCTAAGAGGTAGGGACACACTAGAGTGACAGAGAACTTGCCCATCAGGAACAAGGAAGACCTAGAGTCTGATCCCCATCACCATGAAGAAAGAAAAAGAAAGGGGAAAAAAAGAAGGGGAGGTGGGAAGGGTTAAGAGATGGGGAGAGGAAAAAGAGAGGGGGTAGAAAGAGGAAAAGAAATGAAAAGAAAGAGAGAGAGAAAAGAGGGAGAGAGGAAGAAGGAACATAAAACCCTTAGTGGCCACATAAAAATATCAGCGATCAAATTTACCAAAAAATAACAATAAATAAAGGAAAACTATTAAGGATTTAACCTTTCCTTGTCTATATAAACCATCATAAAGTAACCAAATAGTGAGGCTGAGGAGACCGCTCAGCAGTAAGAGCTCTTCCTGCTCAGGTATGAGGACTTGTGCTCAAAATCCAAGAACCAACGTTTTCTACAATTCTAGTCATGCCTGTAACCCAAAGACCTCTTCTAGCTTCCCAACAGTTACATGGATACACACCCATACACACATGTGCATATATGCCACACTCATAAACCACTAACACACAAATCAATAATTAATAAAGGGAAGTTTCAACTTCTGGAGATATTCCATAAGATAAATAATAAAGAAACAATACATTGTGAAATTTTCTATTTAGAAAATTCTTTTGAAAAACCACTAGAGCTTAGAATGTAGCTGAGCAGTAAAGCATTTGTCTAGAATTAGTGACGCCCTACGTTTAATCCTTAGCCTCTCAAAAATAATATAATAAAACTAACAGCAACCTAGACAACAATTATTAGTGACTTTTAACAAGGCAAACATATATCCAACTGGGCACTTGGTGCTTCCCAATTGAAGTGTGCAATAATGTCACGAAATGTCTACTGTTTCTGTTCAAGCTTCTGAAATCACAGACAGAAATCAACACGATCCAAAGTGTGAGGAATCTTAAGGAATAGATCTTCAACAAATAATCACAGGGAAGAAAAACAGAAGAGAGGGCTGGCAAGATGCTTCTGTAGCAGGTAAAGGCAATTGCCACCAGGCCTGACTGCCTGAGTTCATATGGTCACAGCCTTTGCCCTTGAAGAGATATCAACTAAATATTTATGAAGGAAGTAATAGAAGTCAAAAAGAGAGTAGGAGGTGGGGTAAATATGTGACAAGAGTGGTCATGGGTAAGCCCAGGTGTCAGATATTAAGAACTATATTACACTTTCCACATACTTTTCAGTGTGTGGAATATATATGCATTTTTAAGATAATCGCCTCTAATGGACATTTTATTCCCCTTAACATGTGGTTCTGGCAGATGAGTGTTGGTTGAGTCCAGCATTCTTTGTTTGCCCATGTCTTCATATCTCCTTCACAGAATTCAGGGTGACAGTCACTTCAGCCATGGCCATCCCATCATCCTTACAGAAATGTTCAGACTTCCAAGATTTAGTCTGTGGAGTTTTTTTGCAGTGGTGCTTCAGTCTCTTCTGGGAGCAATGATGCCTGGTTCCCTGTGCCCCTCAAGAAAAGGACAGAGCAGACTGTAAATGGGCTCCTAGACTTCGTAAAGATATCCTTTTTTGCCTGATTTTCTAACTACCTCCCTACATGCAAAAATGACTGGCATATATGGAAGGGCACTTAGTGCACTATTCATAAAGTATAAAGTAATGGCCAAAGTCATTAAAAAGTCATTTTCTGTCTGTGGTTAATATTGACAACAGCCATCACTTCCCCAATATATGCTTCTAAGGGCTTCACATTAATTTTCTCGAGTTACTTGTAATCATCCAAAGTATTTTTGACATGTGTTCCTCATGGCAACTCTTCGAAGGGACTTCAATCACTAATTCCAACAGTGGCTAGTCTCCTTAAGACTCTGCCTCGAGGACCTTCACTCCAATTCACTATTATATTTCAAGGGTGACAAATTTGTATGAGAATCTTCTTTGTAAAATTTTTATGACATTTTATTTGTTTATTGGGGAGGCTCACACTCATGCCATGATGAGCATGTGGAGGTAAGAGGACAATTTCGTGAGTGTTGGTTTTCTCTTTCTATGGGATGCTGTCCTAGGTATTGAACTCAGCCCACCATGGTGCTCTGCAGCAAGCGCCTTCTGCTGGTGAGCCATCTAACTGGCCCTGTTAGGAGATTTAGTGATTCAAATCTAAAGCACGACAGGCAATTTCTTGATGATTGTTCTCTATGTTCTAACTTGATCTGTGTCTGACTCTTTGCCTCTCTGCAGATTCTCTACCTTGTGACTACATGGTCAAATGAGTCAACTTACCATATATCCTTCATTTCAGCAACCAGCAAAACCTGGCCCATCCTATCTGAATTTCACTTCTCCAGTACTATATAACTTCAGTTAGCCTGGAAAGTCAGAAATGCACCATTGGAGCAATAGCAATGTCTCTGAAACACGGTGAGATCATCCATTATAAATATGACTACAGGGATTTACAGGAGATAGTTTATATTAAAAAAAAAAAGAGTATGAATGCCCGGAAAATGTCTATTTATCATAAGACTGATAGATGGGTTCAGTATATAGAGATCTTTTGCAATCAGATTTATTTGCTTTAGAAACACTAGCAAACTAGATGCACTCCATCCTATCATTCCAGAACAAAATTCAGTTATATTCTTCTGCAGGCCAACAAAAGCAGACTTTGGATAGATGGAAATCACAACTTCCACTCTAAAACTGACATAACAAATGACTACAAATCAATCAATCTAAAACATCAGAAATTTATTTTTCAAATTTTAGAGCCCAGATTTCTGGTTCAAGGTTGGTTGAACCCCAGCAGGGTTGGTTCCTTTGGGAGACGGTTGGTGGGAGTTCTGATTGAGAACTTACTTTCAGAGTCTGGCAGCTATTGTGATGCTCAGCATTCCTTGGCTGGTGGATGCTCCTCTCTAATCTCTACATTTGTCTTTTCTCTTCATTTCTCCTCATCTATCTTGTACACAGTTAGTCTTGTCGAACTCAGTTCAACTCTAGGCATAATTTTGAATTTTGAATTTGAGGGGAGGGTCAAGATACAACCCAATATAGTATCCACCAGACTTCCTTTGCAATGAACTTAGACCTTCCTGTCCCACTTGTCTCCCCGAGTCTATTTATTACCGTTATGTCAAACTATTTCCCTGTGGGTGGCACCATTCTCACCTTTAAATACTAGTACTTACCAACTGTTATGAATTAGGTTTGTTTCTCTGCTGGCAATAGTTTTTTCTTCTGTGTGGAAGTCTGTCAGTCCCACCTTCTGCTAATGGTTCTTTTCCTGAGAACTGTGGTTAAATCTTGGCCCAAGACAGCTGTAGCTGCCTGGTATGGAGTCTCTGATCTCTCGCCTGGAATAGATTGACACCTCCTCCTGGAAAGGGATCAGATTCAGAAAACAGAAAGAAGTTTTAAGGTTCATGATGACAATATATTTTTAGAAAATGAGAGAAGCCAAATCTTCCAAGGAAAGAGGAATATAAAACATAAGGAACTGAGCCAGTAGCCACAGTTGGACACAGTGACAGTCTGCTTCCCTCAGCAGTATGTCAGGGATGTCCCCTTTGCTTCAAGAGAAGGTATTTTGTGATCTTGTCCCTCACCAGGCCTTCCTTCTACATTGCCACCTCTTTCTCTCCTCTACTCAGACCCAGTAAGACAGCTAGCTAACTTGCAACTGAGGTGCTGTGTTGGACTGGTTTTTGCATTTTTGTTTGTTTGGTAGGTTGGTTGGTTTTTCAAGACAGGGTTTCTCTGCACAGTAGTTTTGGCTGTCCTGGAACTCACGCTGTAGACCAGGCTTGCCGCTAATTCACTAAGATCCACTTGCCTCAGCCTCCTGAGTACTGGGATTAAAGGCATGCACTACCACTGCCCAGCTGAACTGGTATTTTTAATTCTAACTTTTGTTTTGATTTAGAACACTTTGCTGTGCCTTTAATCCCAGCACTCAAGAGGCAGAGGAAGGTGGATCTCTGAGTTTGAGGCCAATTTGGTCTGCAGAGAGAGTTCAGGAACAGTCAGGGATACACAAAGAAAGCTTGTCTTGAAAACCAAAACAATCAAACAAAAATTAAATTTAAAAAATTCCTTGATGATCTATAACAAAGTAAAATGAGTGAGAATCTAGCATATCAATCTCATTTCCTTTCTAGAGGAATGACCTAAGTAACAATTTATTTGAAGTTTACTTGGAAGTGGCATTCATTGGCCTCAGGGACCTAATGATATCTTTCCTTCATTGTGTTTATGTCCTCAATGCAACAGTAAGCTGGTACCTCCAACCTGCAGGCACTATATTAAAATGCCAGAGCATCATGGCTTGCAGGAAGGATTAGCTACCATAAGTAAAGAAGACATTACTTAAGTAAAAAGATGAAATCAATATATTTGATGAAATCAGTGTACTTGTATAAGGAAAGACTTATTGTCTTTGTGGGAAGAAATCAAAACCGAAATAAGTTATAATGACTTCTTGATAGAAATTGGAAAACATAAACCTTTTAAAACACTGAGTGTAGTGGTGTGATGTGGGAGTCCCCTCTGTGTGTTGCTTTTCTTGGTTAATTAATAAAGAAACCACCTTGGCCTGTTGATAGGGCAGAACTTTGGTAGGCGGAGAAGATGGAACTGAATGTTGGGAGGAAGAAAGCAGGACTCAGGGAGACAACATGGAGCCACTGCTAGAGTCAGACATGCCAAATCTTTGCTGGTAAGCCACTGCCATGCGGCGATATACAGATTAAAAGAAATGGGTTAAATTAATATGTAAGAGTTAGTCAATAAGAAGTTAGAGCTGACAGGCCAAGCAGTGATTTAATTAATACGGTTCCTGTGTAATTATTTGGGGGCTAAGCTAGCTGGGCGGCCAGGACGAACAAGCAACCCCTCCTGTAACAGTGGTGTAGTCCTATAATTTCAACATTCAGAAAGGAGTGCCACAAGTTGAAGGCTAGCCTGGGCTACAAAGTGAGGTCTAGGTCAACTTAGCTAAAATAAGATTTTGTTTCAAATTCTATATACATACTTTTGCATAAATTTCTCCTCACATAAATAAGTATAATTCATTCACTCTAATGTGTAATACAATTAGTCTATATCTGAACTTTTCTTTTTGTAAATATAAATAATAAAAATTAGTACATTTTAAAAATAATACCAAGCAAGGGCAGTTGCACTCAAATAAATATACTGACATGGTTTCAGATAAATTTTATCTTTTAGCAAAAAAAAAAAACACCTTTGAAACCATATTTCTAGAACTTTTTCTTGGCTTTATAAGCAGAATTTTGTTGGAATTAATCAGACATTTATTAGCAAGTCTTGAGAGATTTCCAGTAATCAGTCTCATTGTTTGATAAGAATGAAGCAAGCTGATGCCAGAAACTGTCAGGTAACTGATCGTCTGCAGCTGTTTGAGAATTTCTTAATGATCTAGTTCTCCTACATCCTTTAACATTTCCAAAATGCTTACAAGATAAGAGGTCAACGATAGCACATTTCTGTGGTACTTGGCTGAATTATAAATTCAACAGAAAGTACAAGATTTCATAATGCTGAAAGGTAGTGTGCCCTATTCCTGAAGCCAAAGAGAAGAGTGCCCCTCCATACTTCATCACTAACTGCCTGTCTCTCTACCTAGGACATTTCCTGAAGGCCTGCAGATCTCCCTGGGAGAGGTAGAAAGAATGAACTGAAATTTGAAACCAAGTATTGGTTCTTTAAAAACATTCAGCTTATTATCTGTCCTTCATGAGTCAGTAGCATATTTTCTTTTCCATGCGTGTGTGTGTGTGCATCTGTGTGTTTGTATTGTGCACTTGTGCATATGTACATGTGTGTGTGTGCACGCATGCGTGCATGTTTGTGTATATTTAGTTCTTTGAGAATTTTGTACAATGTGTTTTGATCACATTCACCCCCTCCACCAACTCTTTCAGGATCTAGTCCCTTCCTAACCCACCACTAACTTTGGATCCTTTTTTTAATCCATCAAGACCAATTTATGTTACCCAAATATTCTTGGATATATTTCTTTCTCTAGAGTGTGGTCACCTTACCACAGGATATACTGTTAAAACAAAACAAAACAAAACAAAAACTTGTCTTTCCCTTTCCTAGTAGCTAATGATTGCTCGTAATTCCATGGTTAAACGTGGGATTTCATGTTCAGCTCCCGTTTCCATGCTTGGATCTGCTCTGGCATGGACTTGCACAACTTTTTTGCATGCTTCCACAGCCATTTGTATACCATGTACTTGAGTCGTAGACCATGGAGAAATCAAGCCAGTACTAACTTGGAAATCTCATCCTTACTGGTTAACTTTCACAGTGCCAGGAGGTGTTATGTGCACCACTGGAGGATGAATCATCATCATACCGAGCTGTGAACGCTTTGAGCTATGATAATGGCTGCCCTGGCAAGATATGCCTTTGGAATAATACTGGCAGATACAGTAGGAGAGTAACCAACCACTTCAATATTGAATGTAAGTCCTCCTCCAAAGATGAAACACATCCATGCCACTGTTATTGGCCCCTAAACTTATGACCACACAGGGAATAGGCCCCAGGGTAGTACTTAGTACTGTTATTTTGCTAAGTCAGCAAAGTATTATAAAAACTTATCATTACACCCACAAACCAATGCTTCTCAAAGTCCTCATCTAAGCAGCTCCTAAATGCAGGAGCATTTTCTTAAGACACTGCAACCTTTCTGTGAGAACTCCAACTTGTTATCAGCACTCTTGCTTTCATCAGCTGCCACACTTCATAAATAAGTAGAAAATGGTTCCGGGTAGGAGTTTGAAAGTAATTGGCCCCTATAAGCTCAGGGAGTGGCACCATTAGGCGGTGTGGCCTTGCTGAAGAAAGTGTGTCCCTGTGATGGCGGGCGTTGAGACATCCTATGCTCAAGCTACACCTAGTTCAGTTAGTTCACTTCCTATTGCCTTTCAGTCAGAATGGAGGACTCTCAGTTTCCTTCTCCAGCATCACATCTGTCGGCACACTGTCATGTCCTGCCAAAATGATAATGAATTAAACCCTCTGAACTGTAAGCCACTCCAATTAAATGTTTCTCCTTTCATAAGAGTTGCCTGCTGTGGTCATGGTGTCTCTTCACAGCAATAGAAATCCTAACTAAGACAGAAGTTGGTACCAAGGACTGGGATACTGCTGTGATAGGCCTGACCATGCTTTTGTTTGAAGGAGTATGGACCCTGGGACTGTAGATTAGAACTCTTTACATGCTGCTTAATGGACCATCCTAGAAGAAACATGGAAGACAGTGGCGCTGAGTGTGATTTGAACTATGGGAGCCTGGATCAAGATGCTTCAGAGGAGAAGAATGTTAGTTGGTATGTGGACTAGACACTGGTCTTGTGATGTTTTGAAGGCTGTGGCTGCTTTTTGCCCATGTCTGAAAAGTCTGCCTGAGGCCAAAGTGAGAGTTTTAGATTAATTCTTTTGGCAGAGGACAGCTCAAACAGCCTAGTATAGATAGACCCTGTTGTGTGGTTACTAGTGTTAACTCTGATGCAGATAGATGTATAACGAAAATGATCAAATTGAGCAAGAAAAAATACCTGAGGAGAAAGGGAGCACCAAGAAGTGGAATGGAGCTTAGTCCTGTATTCAAGGAGATAAACAGATTAAGAAATGGAATAAAGGGAGTGGTGACCTCAGGATAAGATTCCACCCAGAAAACTTCCCACTTGTCGAAAGGATTTTAAAAAGAAGTTTAGAGCTGTTTGTGGTGGCATACACCTTTAATCCCAGTACTCAGAAGGCTGGTACATCTCTGAGTTTGAGGCCAGTTTAGTCTACAGAGTAAGTCAGAATAGCAAAGTTTAGGCAGTGAAGGAAACCACGAAAAATAGAAAACTGGTGAAGATATAATAGAACAACGTAGTCATGTTCTCACCCCAACAAACAGCAGAAATTGGCAGTTTTGGCCATATGGTTCTGGCTTTAAAATCAAGGAGCAACTAAGGAAAGCCACCAAGGCCAGACATGTGTCAAGGGTGTTCCTAGAAGAAAGCCCAAAGAGGCTGTTATATGAAGCTATGCTATTGAAGCCTGGATTACCTTTATTACCTTGGAGACCCCAAGATATTAGAGATGCCAAAGTCATGGGATATCTGCTAAGAAAGGCTGCTAATAGGAAGTGGAACCAGTTCAACAGAAAGAAGCATCTTGCAGTCAAAGCTGGAAGGAGCTGGAGTGCTTTGATACCAGACATGGAGATGTAGACTTTGGTGTTTGCCCAGCTGGTTTTCCATCTTGCTTTGGTCCAATAAATTTCCTCACTATTTGCATGAATCTCATAAGAGACTTTGAACTTTGGACTTTTAAGCACTATTGAAACTGTGA